TTGTCGTCTCGTGGAATGCATCGCATCCACTCCTCAATCTTATCGCTAGGAGCACGGAAGAAATGTCTCTTCTCGTTCGATGACTTATATCCTGCCTTGCATCCTGGCACAAAGCACGTTGGCATTTTTATGGAGCTAAAAAAACAATTATTATAGGTCAAAATCACTGACTTCAGTATATACCTAGCAAGAACAACGATCTCCTGCTAACAGTGGCGCCGACTAGCGGCAAATATTGTCTCTAGCTAAGTTTGAACTATTAGTCGAAAGACCAGTTAATCTACCGACTCTGGTACAGGTATTCTGTACATAGTTCTTTTCGTTTTATTTCTTTATTCGTATTTATTTGTTTTTAATTGTATTTTCCTTTAATTTCTTTGTATATAATCGCATTTATTCTTAATTTTGTTTTCATTTAATATTTATTTGTTTTCGTTGTTTGTTGTATATTTAAAAATATTCAAAAAATAACAAAAAGAAATTGTAAAGTTTAAAACTTCATAAATAAAATCTAAAAATCTCCTAAAAAGTAAAGTTTTAAAATTACAAAAATAATTTTCAATTTATAAGTAAAAATTAAAATATTGCTTTTTCATTCACTTTTAGATATGATTTTTTTCTGAAAATCATCGATAACTTGAATCCTTCTCCTGATTTTGACATCCCGATTGCGTCAATACCAATTTCGATTATGACCTCCCAATTTTGACTTTGTCCTGGCTATGACTCATTATTATTGTCTATACATTATTTTTCTATACTACTATATACATAATTAACTAACAATCGCAATATAACAATAAACAATAAATGTTTATTTTTATAAAATTAACAAACTTCTATATTAAAGTTATAAGGTGGAGACCCTATTCCAAACATTCTGTCCCATTTTTCCACGGGATCATGGTGAATAATTTGGCTTCGTACTTCCAAAAACCATACGTTTAAGATATAAGGTTTATCTACACACACTAGTTTCTATACTAATTTTTCCACGAATATGGATTTTATTAAATTTTATTTTAAAATTAATAACACTTGCATCTAACAACAACCATTGAAAAGATTATGATTGAAAAACATTTAATCATTTAAGTTTTAACTTTTTTTATACTTCTTGAGATAGGCATATCCATTTACTCATTTAAGACAAAATTTATTTGGTATCAAGTCTGAGAGAAAAACATCATCACATTTTTTTAAAAAGGATGATTTATTCACAGTTATTATATACATTTTATAAAAAAAACTTGGCAACACAATTGTAAATTGGTCCCAATTAGGCCATCATGAAAATTGTAAAAATATGCAATTCAATATAATGCACATCTGTTTGTAGAATGAACAGGTTAATGCATAAGTATTATCAATCTGAACAGTTCATTAATATTAAAAAAAATTTACAATATATAAAATATATAAAAAATTTTTAAAAATAAATTTAATACAAAAATGGTTGTTAACAAAATTTAGTATTTAACAAAATGTAAACTGGAGACAATTTGAATTAAGATGATTATTGCATTTTCATTTTTTTCCTGTAGATTCAATATTAAAAATTCCATGAGGAATAAAACTATATATAAAAAAACAATACTTCATATGATAAACAACAATTATTAAATATAGACTGTTCAGAATAAAATATTTTGTAAACTGCAATAATATTTGGCTGGAATTATACATCACAAAACACACTTCAAACAAATGAAAACATTGCTTCATTTCAATGAATTGTATATTAAAATCCTTGTAAATGGAAACATTAAAAACAAATAACTTGGCTGTTTAAGGAAATCAGTTTTTAAAATTGTTTTTGGCATCTTTATTTATGCTTTAATTTATGGCCGAGAATTTTAATGGATATGATTATTGTAAGCAAGTTTTTATAATATAAACAATCTTTGGAATTTGGCCTTCTGTTTAAGAAAAGCTTTCCTAAAACAAATTTAATGTACAACATCTATTATTTACAATAAATTCATATGTATACACATGCACACACACATACGCACATGTACACACATATACACATCACATACATAAGTATATAAAATTGCATGTCCTGACTTTTCAAATTTACAATAGTTGACTGCAATAAATAGAGCAGTTGCAGGACACACACATTTAATATTTTGTGCTTATATTTGTAATTCAGTTTCTGACCCAGATGATGCTGCTGTAGCATGAGTTGAGGAACGCTGAGGTCTTGTGTGATGAGGAGTAGTTGATCCGGCCAACTGCACAGCACTTGGTCTACATACACCTGGGGACACGAGTGGCGATATAGATGGGGATCTTGTTGCAAGTGGGGAAAGTGCAGGTGAAAAACTTGGAGACATGGCAGGAGAAGAAAAAGTACTTTCGTGACCAATTGGAGAGCGAGGTAGTGTGGGGAAAGAAGTCACCTGACTAGTATGTCCAGAACTTAATGCTATAGGTGCTATAGACCTTGGTGCCACGTTAGTAATTAATGGTGGTGGAACAGTTTTTACCTGAGGATGTAATGTTTTGGGAGGATTAGAAGAATAGGATAAAGGTATATTATCATCCTTTAGCCTTGCAATTTCTGCAAACACATGTGCTAATGGTTGATATTGTGGACCCCAATCCAAGAGATAATCCCAGTTATAACTTCCAGTAAGTTCTTCTTCACTGTGAACTATTGAGCTCAATGAACCAGTCATGGATGGTTCACCTTCATCACCAAATCCAAATGCTCTAGTTCCATCCATAATGGCATCATTTTCTTCAGCACCAACTTCATTTAATTTGGTGTATATAAGATTACTAATATCCATACCATCCCCTTCTCCCCCACCCTCCTCATCAAACATATGCATACTTTCTACACTGTGAGCACTAGACATTTTACTGTATTCTTGACAGTTTCTTTGTTCTAATTGATTTGAATTGATCCCCAATCTAGCTAAATATTCTTGAGTATTATGAACAGATATGTCTGACATATTGTCATCATCACGATGTATTCCCAATCTCTGCAATTTCTGCTGTTGCATAAGTGGACCTTCATTGATCATTCGTATTTCTTCATCTTCCACATCTTCTCCATCTTCAGCAGAACCTCGTCCACTAGAAGCAGAATGTGATTGGTCAGATACTTCTGATGTTGCACCATTTACATGTTGTCCACTTTCTGTAGGATCATACTGAGATATATCACTATAATGTGGTGGAAATTGTGATATACTTGCTGAACTTGAAGGAGGATGATGCAAATCTATAGAATCAAAGGAACTCACAAAGCCTTGTACTACTGCAGGTTTAGCATTTCTTTTAGTGCGCATTCGTAAAACAACAATCATAGTCAATAAAACAATAGCTAGAATTGCCAAAGCAATAACAACTCCTAAACCCCAAGCAGGTAAACTGGCTCCAACACGTTCTTCAGGTGCACCAAGTCTAGTTGAATTTAATGAAAAATCAATTATTATTTCAATGACAACATGACTACTTAAAGAACTTGGATGGCCACTGCTTGCTAATACTACTAATGATACTTCATGATTATTTGCATCCCTATGATGTTGTTTAAACATATCATAATGGAAAGCACTTTTCACTATTATTATTCCTGTAGTACTATTGATTGCAAAATTAGTCTGAATATTTCTTAACTGATAAATAATTCTTCCATCAACACCTTCATCACGGTCAATAGCATGAACACTTCCAACAACATATCCTGCAGGAGCATCACCAGGAACTGTAAAATGATATGAACTTTGAGAAAATTCTGGAGGATATTCATCCTTACTTTCAATATCAACTTGTACTTGTACACTAGCATATTTGCCTCCAGCATCCATTGCCAAGAGATTAAAAAAATACTTATTCTTTGACTCATAATCAAATACAATCATTGTTGTAACAATACCAGTCACAGGATCAATTACAAATTTATCTCTTCCATCACCATCCATAACTGAATAATTTAATTTTCCATATATTCCACGGTCCCCATCAATAGCACGAGCAACAAATACTGATGATCCGACTGGGGCATTTTCTTCCACAACTTCTTTGTAACTTGTAAGAGGAAAATGTGGTGAATTATCATTTTCATCTAAAATTTTTAAAACTACACTTGTCAATGCAGATAGAGGTCTTAGAGGATCATTATCTGTTGCTCGAATAATAAATCTGTATTCTGGGATGGAATCATAATCCAGTAATTCTTTAATACTTATATCACCAGACTGTGCATTAAGAAAAAACTTATCATCATCATTTCCAGAAGTTATATCATAAACTATTTGCGAAAACTGTCCTTCATCTCTATCGTTAGCGGTGACTCTAAGAACTCTCGTTCCTACAGCTGCAAGTTCTGACACAGATGCTTCATATTTACTTTGATTAAACTGCGGTGGATTATCATTTACATCATCAACATAAATATAAACATCTGCAGATGAATTAAGAGAAGGTGTACCTCTATCCATTGCAATTACCTGAAAAATATAAAATGTAATTACAATTTGTATAAAAACAAGATATTAGTAATTAGGTATAATCTATAGAAAAATAAATACTTTATATTTGATTATTAAATAACATAATAGTTACAATTCAGATGAGGATAAAATTAACAGATGAAATTATAATGTAATGATAAATTAGAAACTCTAAGAAGATAAAGCAGTAGCTTTGTTTTACTCTTTCTGCTCTGTGGGTATTAGTTGTCTTTTTAATCACATCCAGCACAGTTTCAGTCAGGCCTACAAAATGAGTGTCAGATGTTGAGTGATAAGGCTCAACATATCTAGGATAGAAAGAGTCCTGGGATGACAACTGATTCGATTCTAGGTCCCCAGAACAGTAGGCTGATGCCTTAACCATCTTGACCATCCAGTTGTCAATAAAGTAGACGTTTTACTTTTTTTGAAAAAATTTTTAGATTTTGACAAGTCTAGGCATAATTTAAGTTTAAATTAGTAACATTTTGTTTATAAAAGAAAAAAAGAACTTGTTTATAATAAGAGTTTTAAGTGTGATTTCAAATTTTTTATGTTTATTTACTGGTATATATATTAAAACTATATTATGATTTGTGTAAGATATACAGATATAGTGTAAATATATATATTTTTCATTTTAAAAGTTTTTTAGGTATAAAACCTAAAATACTTCTTAAAATGATTTTTTAAGAAAATTTTAAGAAAAATTAAAATACAAGTAGCCTCCACTTTTTGTCACTCTGCTTTTTGTTGTTTTATTTGTATGTATATTAAACTGTAACTTCTTCAATTTATTTTCCATCTTCATGATTCACTTACAACATTAATATACAGTATATTATTTTAATCACTCAGATTTTCTGTTATGACTTAAATATAACTGCCTAAGTGAAATGTATTATTTCACTCTTCCATCTTTATAATTTATTTATAATGTATGCTTAAATTACTCAATTCTATGAGATATCATTCAATAATTCAATAGTTTGGCCTTGTTAATTCTGTAAAGTAAAAAGAAAAGAATGTTGACTAGTTATTGCAAGTTGAGTAAACTAGTTCTAACATTTAAATCATGTACTTTAGAAGCAACCAAGTCCTGTATGAAATCTGATATTGTATTTTGAATTTCTTCTAATTATTAGTTTTTTGCTTTAATTCATATTTTATTCATATTAATAGTGATTAGGTAAATTATAATTAAAAACTTGTTTGTTCATAGTATTTTTATCATTTTTTAAAAACATCTCATAGAATAAATTATATTTGTTAATTGATTAATATAAATATGATCCATCAATGTTACAAATAAGTTATGTGACAGGAATATAAATATTTATATTCTCCAATATTTATAAAACATTGAACTGGGAGATTGAAATAAAGTTTAATATAGCATCTATGAATAACAGTGATTACTTTTCATCAATCAGCTTTTTGTTGCAGTTTTCAGGAATGTAACTTGACATAAAAGTGGAGACTGCCTACTTTAGTACAATATACATATAAAATATTTACTTTTAAAGTATATGATGCAATTTCTTCTCGATCAAGTTTTTTCATCAAGATAATTTCACCACTATTTCCAGCAACAGAAAATGTGTTATCAGTATTTCCACTGATAATGACAAAATCAATATTATGACCAAATGAAGATTCATCTGGATCTGATGCTGACATCTTTAATACTGTAGATCCTTTTGAAGAATCTTCTGATATATGCGCCCTAATAATATATAAACATTAAATTTTAAACAAAATGATTTCATTACTTTTTAATATATTACTAAAACTTTGTTTAAATACTATCAAATACTAAAATATATATTTGCTATAAATAAATGATTACTTACGTATACACATGATTGGAAAACTTAGGTGCATTCTTGTTAATATCAGTAACCTGGATATGAACAGAAGCAACTGCTAACCAAGGAGGTTGTCCACTGTCTTGGGCTGTTACTACTAATTGAATTACTGGTTGATCTGAGTTGAATGTCAATGATTTATTTGTGTAAATTTTGCCTAAGTTTAAATGAATAATTTTATAATTAATAAATGCAAATATATGTTTTAAAAAGTTTTAAAACAAATTTTTGTGATTATATTAATTATCTAATAAAATTTAATTGTACTGAATACTGTCATATTTTAAATTAATTATGAAAATCATATTTCTGGTAAATTTATAATTTAAAAAAAGCAAATCAAATAAACAAGTNAATCTGTTGCATTGACAGAAATTACAGTATGTCCTTGTTCAACAACTTTAGGAAGTTCAACCTAAAATTATTAAAAATAATAATAATTATTATTATTTATGAATATAATAATAATTATAAGATTATCATAAAACAGTAGAACCTAATGAAATTATTTATAACAACAAAATGTACAGTTAAATACTTTAAACTAATTTTAAGTTTAGAATTGTTTATATAATACATAGTTTTCCCATCTTTATTTTATAAAGTATCTAGAATTAATTAATAGATAGCTAATACAATATTCTATTGTTTATTTTTTTTATTCAAATGTATACTATATGTAATCGTTATAAGACTTTAGTTGAGTTGATAAGTTTATTGTTTGTTTGTCAGTCTTAATATGTTATTTCTTCAGATAATAAAAGAAAACAAGCACTTATTTTATTGTGACATCAAGCTGCAACTTTTAATCATATTTTTAAAATTATTTAATTTAAAATATATGCTCTCCACCTCAAATTAGTACTCTACTGTCTTTCCCCTGTACATCATACTTTTCCTTTAGCAATCAAGTTGTGCCTGTCATCTATTATCTCCTTTCAGGGGAAAATTTTTGAATTGAAATGACATGACTTCCGATTTGTATTGGAAGTTCATATACAGTTAATCAGGCCTCCTGTCCCTAAGGTTTCCATATCTGTCTCATCTTTCATTATCTAATTCTGTTCTCGAGATTAAGGAAAGACTGACAGATGGATGGATGACAGTGGGAATTTATAGGTCTACAATTTTTTCAAATTGCAGCCCAATAACAAAGAGTTGTCAGTTCCTTTAGATATAAATATTTCTTACTAGACAGTATCCTAAATGTCTCTAAGAAATATATTTATACATGAGATTAAATTTACAGTAGTGAATTTCAATATTATAGCTTTATACAAATCAAAAAGAGCAATAAAAAAATAGCAAAATTGTAGGTGTAATTATACTGTATATCAATTATCATACAATATTAAAATCTCAAACAGTAATGAGAGATTTGAGAGAATATCTATTTATTTTAATATAACATCTAATTTTTTTTATCTATAACTAATTCCAGAAATGCATATATCTGTCAAATTTTATCAATTTTTTCAATTCTCACATTAATACATAATTTTCTAAGCAAATAATCAAATTTAAAAAGAATACAAAAAAACTAGATACAGATTTCTATACTTTTTGCAACAAATTTAAAAATTCACTTGTTAGGAAAATATAAGTAAAAAGAACTAGCAGATTAATTAGACAACAAGATTTTATATAATTTAACATTACTTTTATCTTTAAAAATTTGAATTAAAATTTTTTTTGAAAAGTTAAGTTGTCATTTTTAGATGATAAAAATTCACAAACCTCATAAGATTGTTGACTGAAAACAGGTGGATTGTCATTTACATCAGTAACATGTACTGTTAAATATGTTTCTGCAATATGGGCGGAATCAGATGCTTGAATTTGTAAATGGTACTTATTCTGTTTTTCATGATCTAATGGTTGTGCTAATGTAATTCGACCACTGAATCGATCAATGCTGAACATATTATTAGGATTTCCACCTTCAGAAAAGCTATAAATTAATGCTGGATTAGTATCAACATCATTGGCAGTAATTGTAGTGATTACTGTTCCAACTTCTGACCCTAATGAATAAAAATTAAAATAAATTTTGTAATTGAAAAATTGATGTAATTTTTATATCTTCTTAAATCCTTATTTTAATCTTACCTTCACTAATGCTGACCATATTGTTTGGTGGAAATACAGGTTGATTGTCATTTACATCTATTATACTAATTCGAAGAGTACAAGTTCCTGTCAGCTGTGGTGAACCATCATCAGTTGCTATTATAGTTAGACGATAAGCATCCCTAATTTCTCGATCTAAAACAATATTTGTCTTAACAATTCCACTAAAAGGAGGATCGATGATAAATGCATTATCATGATTTCCATCAATGATATGATATATAACAATTCCAACTCCTCCCATATCATTATCTGTGGCTGTAACCTGTAAATGTCAATGCTATTAATTTTAATTTATTAATATTTAAAACTAACTATAATATATATTGAAATTTTTGAATATAATAAAATTAATTCTTCATAAAATATGAAAACTAATAAATCTTTCTATAGAAAATTGTGTTAGATTAGAATTTTAACTTTTTCATCATTAAAACATTAAAAGTACAACAAATTCTTACTTTTTATATCTTTTATATTTCATATTAAAATTTTTTCAAATTTGATAAAATGTAAAATAACTTTTCTAGAAAAATGTTTAAGATTTATCAATATATAATTATGTAATCAGATTTTAACTAAATTAATTAATTTGCATAGTTTGTAGTTACATTTTAATTTAATATTTGCTAATAATTTTTGCAAAAGGCCTGCAGTATTAAGCTTAAATATTTACCTGAGTTACAAAAGTTCCTTTATTGTTACCTTCCCATACAGAAGATACATATCTTTCTTGGGAAAATGAAGGTGCATTATCATTTTGATCTAACAATCGAATAAAAAGTGTTGCATAACCGTATATTGGAACAGTGTCTTCAGTTTGAGCAACAACAAGCATATGTAATTGAGATGTTTTTTCATGATCCAACTGGTAAGAATCACGAACTGTTATCAAACCTGGAAAAGTTTGGATTTAAAAATCATTTTAATTAATCATAATAGCAAAAATATAAATAATAAAATTATTCTAAAGTCTCTGTAATTATTAAATTTCTTAAGTCTAATAATCACTTTTTCTGTTTTTCACTTTTTTAAATTTAATATTATTTTTCTCATCATTAACATCTTCCAACCAGACAAATTATTCTAAAATGATATTTTCAATCCAGAAGATTTGCAAATATTTATATATTTTATCTTATGATTAAGTGATATAAAAAATATTCATACTTTTATTATTTAATACTGTAGTCTAGTGACTTTGTTTCTTATCTTTGTTATCCTTTCAGACAGTTTTTAATGTATTTGGCACATTGGTTCTTTGGGCAAGTTTATGACCAAGAATGCAGTGTTTCAACCTGCAGTCTGGCCAAGAAGAATTCAAGTAGTGGGAGATCAGAAGCTGAGCAAGAAGGATATCCTTTTGCTGTTTGCAAAGAGAGAAAAACTAGGGCTGCGGAGTCGGAGTTGGATGGTAAGGAAAAGTCAGAGTCGGAGTTGGGAGTTGGTAGACTTTTACGCGTCTCCACAGCNAATTAAAAAAGAGTTAAATAATCAAATGAATTCTTAATTGCATGTAAAACTTAGATAACCAACTAAATGGGTTCTGAACAACAATTTTTTTATTTTATATAAAAATTAAGTTGAATATTATTATTAATAATGCTCTCTTTTCTTAAATAAGCATTTTTAAAATAATCATATAAAGTGTACAACAAAATGAGTCACTCAAATTATATATTAATAAAATAAATTTACCTGTTATTGTATATGTTACTTCAGCATTCAAACCTGCATCATGATCTGTAGCCAATAATGTATGAATTACACTCAAGTCACTGTTTTCTGGAACATGTAATGCATAACATGAATCACCAAATTCAGGTGCATGATCATTAACATCAAGTAGATCTACAATAGCTGTTGTAATATCATATTGTGTAGGAAAAGCACCATCATGGACATATACTGTAATAAAATATGATGCTCTTTCTTCTCGATCAAGACTAACTGCAGTGTAAATTTCACCAGTTTCAGAATTAATTGTGAATTTATTGTCTGCAACTCCTAAAGGAATCATGTATCTTAGGTTGCCATTATCACCTGTTAAAAGAAAAATTTTCATTTAATTTTCACTGAAATGATTTTAAAGTGGAAAAAAAATGTCAAGTTAAAAATGTAAATTTTTTTTTCCTAATATTATTAAAAAATTTTCGACGTTTTCTGTCACAATACTTAAAATATGTGATTCAAAATTATTTGCCTCAGACTTACCAGTTCTTGAATTTATATCTAATGCACTATCTTCATTTCCACTACTAAAACTAAAAATAATATTTGAGCTGGGTGAATGATTTAATTTTACTTGAATAACTTCTGTTCCCACAGGTGAATTTTCAGGAAGCTGTATGATATATGTAGAATTTTGAAATTTTAAGGTTGATATAACATTTCCTTCTCCAACATAAATCTGTAATACACCTGCATAGAACAAGATATATACATATATAAATACAGTATATTGAAAGTATAACATTATGAAATTATTATCACAAAAAATGTAATAACAAAACAGTAATTTTTAAACATTTAATATACAAAACAACTGATATACACATACTTTTAATAATCTTCCAGCAAGCATGAAAATATGTATAAAAATTTATTAAAGATTATGATATCTATATAACATCTTCCAACCAGACAAATTATTCTAAAATGATATTTTCAATCCAGAAGATTTGCAAATATTTATATATTTTATCTTATGATTAAGTGATATAAAAAATATTCATACTTTTATTATTTAATACTGTAGTCTAGTGACTTTGTTTCTTATCTTTGTTATCCTTTCAGACAGTTTTTAATGTATTTGGCACATTGGTTCTTTGGGCAAGTTTATGACCAAGAATGCAGTGTTTCAACCTGCAGTCTGGCCAAGAAGAATTCAAGTAGTGGGAGATCAGAAGCTGAGCAAGAAGGATATCCTTTTGCTGTTTGCAAAGAGAGAAAAACTAGGGCTGCGGAGTCGGAGTTGGATGGTAAGGAAAAGTCAGAGTCAGAGTTGGGAGTTGGTAGACTTTTACGCGTCTCCACAGCCCTGCCAGGGCTGTAGAATCGTAGTCGTAGTCGGAGTCGTGGAGTTTAGGTGTTTTAGTCGGAGTCGGAGTCGGATGGCAAGGAAGAGTCGGAGTCGGAATCGGTAGATTTTTACGTGACTGCACAGCCCTGAGAAAAACTCAAAGAACCAGAGAGAAGAAACAAGTATTAGTAGAAGAAAAGAGGAATAAAGAAAAGACTAGAGAGAACAAGAAGTTTTTTTATAATTTAACTTTGATAAGGAAAATGTTTAAGTAACAGAAAACTAAAATTTTCTTATCAGTCTTTGGTTTTAATGAAATACTCATAACTATTCTTTTTTTTTTATTGTTTGATATATATAAAACAAATTAGATATGTCCAACAGACATGATTTATCTCAACATGTACCCATACATATTTCATTATCAAAGAACCTAAATATATTACAGTAGTCCCAAATTCATATTGAGAACTACACCTCAATACAATAAATATACATTTTTTGATATAAAATATGGAAGTATCTTTCTAACAAAAATCTATATTCTCTGCTTTTTTTCTTCTTTAATAAAAATGATTGATAATAGTTAGTAATAATAATAACCAAATAAATATTTAAGTAGCTAAAATACACATAATTATTGAAAATAAAATCATATACAAAAATAAATCTAAACTCATTATAAGGAATATAACTTTTGAGAAGAAAGAGAACTTTTTAGTAATGTTTTCTTTTTAACATAAAATAGCAACAATATCAAAAAATGAATAAATGTAAGACTGTGGTAATTTATTTAGAAACACCAATGTCATTTGATAAACAACACAAAGAAATCAAAATATAAGAAATAGAAATTCTTTAAAATGAAAAATATATGAATTACAATATTTTTAGATATGAATTAGAGAAAAAATAATAATTAATAAACTTTTTAGGTAGCATTAATTCAATATATGAACTTATAATATTAATGAAGAATGTGTGAAATGTGTAACATTATAACTTGTAAATTAATTATAGTTATGCATTTATAATTACTTTATAAATATTTGATTAAAAGTAAGATAATATGATGCATATTATAAATTATTCACAAATTTTATAATGATTTGTTAACATATTACTGACAATGCCATTAAAATCATGTTTGTTTGATAAAAACAAAAAACTCAAAAATAGATAATCTACATTTGAATAAAATATTAATTATCATATCTATATTGGAGTACAAAATAGAAATAGTCAGTAGTTTTTCAAAATTTTGAATTCTAATAATCAGCAAAATAGAGAAAATGTGATAAAACATATGTGTAACTTTATAAGTTTTTACTAAATAAAATAAAGTAAATAGACAAAATTACAATCTCTCTACACACCGGTAAATATAAATAAATACTTCTCAAACCTTTTAATCAGAGTGCTTCTATTTTTAGAATCACAAAAGTTTGCAATTCTAAAAATAGAAGCACACTGGTTAAAAAGTTTGAGGAGTATTTTATTTAGACAAAATTATATGACAGTCATCAATATGTCTGTGATATAAATATGTAAATGAATTTTTTAAACAAATAACTGAATTAATATTGGAAAAATCTCTCATTTCAGTGTCAACCAGAGATTTCTTATCTTCAAGATTCTATATGAGAAAACTGTAATTCTTTATAACTAATACAGAATTTTAATAGTATTAATGCTACATTATATAGACTATATATATATAGTCTATATAATGTAGCATTAATACTATTAAAATATATATATATATAGTAATAATTATATAAATGGCTATTGTCATAGAGCATATATATATTTTTTCTCAGAGTTCATTAGTATTAATAAAGACATTTTTCAAGTATTTTCAAGGTGTTTAAGAGAACAAATTACTGTATTTAATACTAAATATATAAATTTTTGGTCATTTTAAAGTGGAAAAAAAATGTCAAGTTAAAAATGTAAATTTTTTTTTCCTAATATTATTAAAAAATTTTCGACGTTTTCTGTCACAATACTTAAAATATGTGATTCAAAATTATTTGCCTCAGACTTACCAGTTCTTGAATTTATATCTAATGCACTATCTTCATTTCCACTACTAAAACTAAAAATAATATTTGAGCTGGGTGAATGATTTAATTTTACTTGAATAACTTCTGTTCCCACAGGTGAATTTTCAGGAAGCTGTATGATATATGTAGAATTTTGAAATTTTAAGGTTGATATAACATTTCCTTCTCCAACATAAATCTGTAATACACCTGCATAGAACAAGATATATACATATATAAATACAGTATATTGAAAGTATAACATTATGAAATTATTATCACAAAAAATGTAATAACAAAACAGTAATTTTTAAACATTTAATATACAAAACAACTGATATACACATACTTTTAATAATCTTCCAGCAAGCATGAAAATATGTATAAAAATTTATTAAAGATTATGATATCTATAGCATTTACCTTGATATAGTAATTCTTATATAGTATATTTTAAATTAATTATGAAAATCATATTTCTGGTAAATTTATAATTTAAAAAAAGCAAATCAAATAAACAAGTAATTTAAGTAACAAATATTTTAGATTATTTGTTGTTATTTTAATTTTGACTAGCATTTGATTTAAACATAGTGCATATAGCATTATTTAAGGTGATACACATTCTTACGAATAACTTAATTTTATTTATGTTTAAATATCAAATTGTTCATTCATTCAAAATGTATTTTTTATTTATTGTTTATTGTCAAGCAATGAGATGCTTATTTAATTAGCATTAAAAAATATAAAATATGAATTTACAAATATAAACATCTGTAAGCCCAATAGTTATATTGAAGCCAAACAATTGCCAAATTAGGTTCAGCAATCATTTGGCTTTAATATAACTATCACAGTAATATAGCCCAATCTAATCTGGCAATTGTTTGGCTTTAAAATATAAATTTTGCAAAGGAAGTAATTTATTTGCTTTACTAGAGAAAGTTCTGTGCAAAACAGGTACAATATTTTGATTGTAATTATTATAATAAATTTATTAATAAATTGTAATTAAATGTTATATGTATGCAGTTTTGAAGTTAACATTGATTTGATCAATCTTTTCACTAAATTAATCAAGAAAAAGTTCAACCAATAACAGCAACATGAATGTATAGCAATAAATAATAATACAATTTTTAATCAATGTTCAAAACAGCAGCATTGTCTTATATTATGTTGTTTTATGATATACTAGCTGTTACCCGTGGTTTCACCTGCACGGAATTTGCAATTTGATAGAAATAACTCTCCCCTCGATACATCACTAAGATTATCAACATTAGTTGTTACTATAAAAACAAAAAATTGCATCTAAAATAGTACAGTAGAAGATGTTCTTCAGGTTAAGCCTTAATCCTCTCCCCCGCAGGAGAATTTCAAAAAATCCCTTCTTAATATGCATTTTCATGACGTACCCTAACTGTGTACCAAATTTCATCTCTTTAAGTTCAGTGGTTTGCTCTGGGCAATGATGAATCAGTCAGGACATGTAATTTTATATATCATGAGTTCAGACACGTGCACTGCGTATCTCGCCACGTGGTTACATATCTCGTATATGCACCTTGCCACACACTGACACCAAAAATATAATGCTTGTTTACCTAGATGATATCTTTTAATTTATATGAATGTTTAACAGAATAATATACAGCTTATGTCCACTCTGAAGGTCCATTCTAAATATTGGTGAAAGAATTTTTGAAATAGGATGAGTAGTTTCGGAGATTACCTCCTACATTCAAACTTACAAACTTTACCTCTTTATAATATTAGTATAGACAAGATATTTATTTATAACATTACAAATATTAGTTCTTTATTTCTCTGATGTTTTTTTAAAATAATTTTAAAATAGTTTAAGCAGAAAGATAATGAAAGACTTTGTGATATTATGATGTTTTATTATACCATATTTCCATGCAAATAAGAGCATGCTCTTACAGGGTGTCCACAAAAAGGTGTTAAAAAAGTAAAATGAATGACTTCATTATTATTTAACCAAATTTACTGAAACTTTCAGAGATATACATGTAATAACTACTAATGTTTTATTAATTTCAGTTATTTTGAAAAATGATCATTTCTGCAAATCAAAGTATAGGTGGGACTGGAATTAGATAACATGTGGAACATTGAAAAAGATCTCACATCTTTTTCAATATTCTGTATTTCATCTGAAATTATTATTTTGAGGTCCTGAATGATCTGTGGGGTAGTCTGAAAAACTCAGTTCTTCAAATAACCCCAAAGAAAAATCACGGGAATTCAAGTTCAGGCTGCCCTAACTAACAAATTTGTGTGTCTAAATTAATGACATGGCCTTGAAATGTGAAATGAAACTAATATCAATATTTAAGTTTATTCATTAATAATTCTAAAATACTTAAAAGCTTTATATCAAAATTTAAATTTTTAAGTACCAAATACTTTATTTATTCAATATAAATAACAATAATAAATTTACCTGTAGCAGTTTTTGGAGGCTGACCTCTGTCTCTAGCTATTATTTCAGTGTGAAATATATGTCCAGCATCAGCCAATAGACTACTTGCAACAGTTACTATTCCTGTTTTAGAATCCAAATGGAACCTTCCTTCTAATACAGGGCTAGCAAAACTAAATTTATAACTTTATTAATATAAAATTTTACTCAATAAAATTATAAATAAGATAAATATATATTTCTTTCTAAATTTCATAAAATAAATTTATAATATACAAATAAGTTGTTGTTTAATTATTTTTGTTAATTTTTATTAAAATACTCATTAAAATTGTTATCAAATTTAAAAAAAGAAAAAATACATCTTATACATCAACTACATAAAAAATTTAAATAAATTTACTAGTTACACCACAATATCTACTTTACAATAATTATTTCTGTATACAGATGTTTAAATAAAATTAATCATTTTAAAACAGCTTTAATAATTACAATTAAATATCTATTAAATTGTCCCCGATAGCCATGCTATTGAAATTACATTGTAAATTACTAATTTCAGTAGCAAAGAACCTCAGATAAGTAATATTTTGTTCATTGTAACTCAGGATTATTAAAAACCAGACAGGATAACCAATGAAATCTTCCCTATTTAAAATAATGTTTATTCAAGAAACTAGTAAAACAAAACAAAACCTAAATCATAAAATTACTTATTTTTAATTTTTAAAAGTTGTTAGATTTCTTCTTAATGCATTTAAGATAGATCAGTATGTTTTCTAAAATCATTGTCAATATCAATACACATACAAATTAACCTCTAGTCAATAGAATATACATTTCAAACAAAATTTACAAATTATAAAACTATATAATCAATGTATCTGTTTTAAGTCTTCATTTAAAAACAATTTGAGTTTCTTAACATTATGCATGTTTTAATAAATAATTATAATGTTGTATTTATTTTGATTTATTATTGTTTTCTAATATTTTTTTAAAGATAAAAAACAAATGTAAATAATTTTACATATTGAATTTTACCAAAAGTATGGAAAAAGAAATCTCAAACTGTTTAACATGAATTCTTGTTCTGTTAAATCTGTTAAACTCCAAATCTAGAAACAGTTTAACAAACAATAATTACCCATTTAATGAACTTATCTTTAAAATTAATATTCTTTGTCTTTTAAATTGCAAAAATCTGATTTACTTATTTAAAAATCAACAAGTAAATGAGCGTTTCAGAATTAAGAGTTTTTTCAAAGACTTGTACTGTACATAATTTGAACTTGGATTTCTATATAAAATCAGTACTTCAAAAAATTTTTGATAGAATAAAAATTCCTTCCAAATAGGTTCTATTATATAGTATATCCAAAAAGTTTCTAGAAATATAGACAAATTTTCACAATTCTAAATTTGTAAGTGAAACCAATGGTACCAAACTAATGATGACTATCCCAATGCTTGTAACATGATTTTTGGATTCAAATAGTCCAATTTTAATATTTTTTAATCTTTACTGTCATAAAATCAAAGATATTTATATAATAACAACTTTAGGTTTATACAAGTCTAGCTCAAAATGTAAATTTGGTCACAATCAAATTAAGCTAGGGTAGAGTATCTGAATATTTCTCCAAAGATCAATGTAAAATTATGTTTATCATATTTGTTAACTTTATAATTTTGAAGGTGAGCTGTACATTACATAACTCTGAAACTTATGAAAATAAACTACAGTTGACCCCCCTATAACATGGTAGATATGTTCCAGTTTTTATGAATCCATTTTCTATAAGTCCAGCCAATCACAGCCTGGCACGTACGCAGTTTACGGACTATGGCTGTTTGAAAGGTTTCTTCCATAAAATTAATCGATTCTAGACTAATTTGACTCAACATTTCCAAAATATGTATAATTTTTTGGGAATAATCCATATAAACTATGCTATAAACAAAAAATTGTAGAATTACTTACCAAGTGTACACCGTTCAACTACGCCATTGCTTAAGCTTGTTTTTGCCGTGGAGCTTGCCACCGAATGGCGCTCGCATGCTTCCTGATAAATTATTTTTTTTTACGAAAAATTTGCTGAACTTTGGAGACATCATTAATATAAATATAATTTTTATGGACATTAAATAATAAATGGTTTTTGGTAGGTCCACTGCTCGTTTAAAGTCAACGATTTGTGCAATCCTGTCATGACACAAGTTGGCGATGACGTTTTACCGAATTATACGAGTATTTTTAGCATGTTTGTACGAATACTGTCACAATTTTTTCACCGTGATATAGGAATCCAAACTATAAAAACCCGTGTTATAGGGGGATCGACTGTATTAATAAATGATCATGTTAATATCACTGACTCATTGCCAAAAATATTCTACATAACTTATATTATGCATTATAAAATAAATATTCCATAAAGAATTTCCCCATGTGAATTTTTCTGTAATTTAATGTTATTTGAAATTTAAAAAGGAAATTTATAAACCATGTTAAAAATTACCTGTAAATAACTTCTGCATTGTGACCTTCATCTTTATCATCAGCATGTAATTGTAGAACTTGAGTTCCAGAAGCTGCATGAGCAGATACATTAGCCATAAAAGGATATTTTGAAAATATTGGTCTGTTATCATTGACATCCATTACTGTAATATGAACTAATGCTCTCTCTGATCGTGCATCATATTTTCCTCCGTCAGTGGCACGGACTTCAAACATATATGTTGCTTTCTTTTCACGATCAAAATGTCTATAACAAATACAATAGAAAACATTTAATATAATCTGTATACAATAAATGACAAATATAAATTCCAAAATATTGCAGGTTAGGAAAATTATTCCACTTAACATTAAAATAATTTTTTTTTTCCATAAACAATTTCAAATATATCTTAGATATTCAAAGGATATTTAAATAAATTTAAAAATGTAAATATTAAATGAAATAAATTAAATTTATGTATTTTTTTCATATATTGCAACTTTCTATTAGCTGCATTTATGCCTAATAAAAATAATTGCCTTTATCACATCAATTTTCAAATGCTACTAAATATAAATTATTGTATAAGGTAAACATAAATGACTACTGTAATTTAAACAGATTAATAAGTTTCATTGATAAAATATAAATTATTATTACAGGTAAATTTGGGCTGTTATAAAGTTTAGTGATCATGTATTCTGTATACCAATTTTGCTACTAGGAGCACTCTCATTAAATTTTCTTCAAAATGGCTTCAGTACAGAAAAGGTTCAATATGTTGTGTGACTTGCAGAAACATATCTGATTAGTGCACAGCAAATGTTTAGGACATATCATAGAAAGAAGCCATCTGATGTGAAGCTAATTAAGTCATGGATGACAAACCTTTTAGTCACAGCATCAGTTCATAAAGATAAAAACACTGGTAAACCATCATTTTCTGAAGAGATTGTTGAGGCTTTGTGGGTATATTAAAAATATGATTTACAAAACAGTAGTTCCAGAGAGCTTGTTGAGACCTTGCAACAGTACATCATACAAGCACAATCAAAAGAGTCACACTATAAATGTTACAGAATGTATGGTATGAGAGTAAACATTGCTTACATATTTTGTGTGCTACAAAGGAATGCTCATGTTGAAATATATTGAGTTTTCTGTACAGGTAATAAAAAATTTTGCAGTTTGAATTATTTCATGTTCTAATTTATATTCTAATTAATTAAATTAAAATAATTATAAAATAAAAGTTTTAAACATACAATAAAAATATTTTTATATTTATATTTAATTAATTAATATCAAAATAAATAAAATGTATTTACCCTGCAGTAGTGATAATGCCTGTTTCACTGTCAATCCAAAATAACGATTGTGTTTCATTACTTAGAGAGTAAGTAACTTTACTATTTATACCATCATCTTGATCATGTGCTTGAACAACAAGAACACTGCTATTTAAAGCAATATCTTCAGGAACTGTTGCACTATATTCTGAATGTTCAAACTGAGGATCATTATCATTCTGATCTAATACTATGATTGAAATGTTACACATTTTACTTAAAGAAGGATTTCCATGATCTCTAGCAGTTATTACTAGATTATAATGAGATACTTGTTCTCGATCAAGGGGCCGACTTGACAACTGTCCAGTGCGAAGATCAATATTAAATTTATTTCCAATATTTCCTTCTGAAAAATGTAACTCTTTAATATTTATTGTTATTAAATATATAACATAATTATAATTAACAAAATATATAAAACATAATCTAAATAGCTTTTCCTAAAATGAAGCTTTTTTAATATTATGAAAAATTTCAGAAATATTTTGGTTATACAACATACTCAAGAAGTAATTAGATAAAAAATGAAAAAAAAGTCTTTAGTGCATCCTAAAGATGAATGTACAGTCTGACAGTTCTTGACTTTTTAAAGAATTTTTAAAAATTTTCACTTTTAAAAAAAAAACTATTTATATTTGGATTGAATTTTAAGTTTCAAGATAAAATATTTCCTTAATAATCTAATGTAATATTACAATGTAACATATTCTATTTTACGGTGTTAAAATCAACATTTTATTCAATTATTTTAATGCCATAAGACAGAATATGTTATATCATAACATTACACTAGATCATTATTTGGCATGAAGTATAATTAACTTTCTCATTTCCTTAATAATTATATGAACTGCTTTTATTAGAAGAAACAAGTGCATTTTAAAATCATATAGCTAAAATGTTAAAAAGTTGTCCTAATAAAATAAATAAATAAATAAAAGCACAAAGATGTAAAAACTCCATTTATGAATTTAAATATTTATATTCTCCTAATATATACTTTTGCTTATCAAATACTGTTATAAAAAAAAATCTGTCTCAATGAATAATGATTTAGATTTAAAATATAAAACTGCTTTCTTATTTGTGAATATAACTGATTTATTGAACTGATAAAACCAAAAAATGGTTACATTTTTAAAATTTGCAAGCATATGGCCATTTTCAGAAACAATTTAGAAAGGTTTTTAAAGCATTTTTAATTTAGAATATGTTTAGAAAGTTTTTTAAATTAGTTTAAATATTAATACCTTAATTTATCATTAATATAAAAACTGATTTATATAAATCAGCCATGTTGGTGAGAAATTGTAAATTCTGTTTCAAATTATCATGATACTGCAGGAAATCCTTGTTAATTTGAACTCAGATAGTTTGAAATCTCATTAGTTCATAACCATACTATTTGTCCTGGTTGAGGATATAGAGATTTACATGTTAAGGAATTTGGTCAGTTCGAAATACGGCTACTTCAAAATTCGTAATAAAAATTCTGTCTTAACTGTGATAGGCATATGTTAACTTGTTTTTAGATCAAAGTGTCTTCATACTATAAAAGAACAATAGACCAAGAACAACTCTAATCTGGTCAACACGGCTTTGCTTTTATAGTAAAATATTTTTGAATCTTACCTTTCCCATACTAGCCTTTTTTCTCTTATCCCATAAAATACAGTTGGGTTTCAGGATTGCAAGATTAGGCTACAAGTACAGATTGAGATATTTTTAGGGCTCTAGGTTACTAGATTTGGGCAAATTACTATTTTTTATACTACTTTAAAAAAAATTTGAGCTACTACATTTCCAGTCCAGGAATTCTGCTTTACTTTTAATCTTGCAACCTGTGAGGTTCTCACCAGACACATGTTTACTTGAAATACTTGAAGTTTATTTATATCATTATTAATTAACAAAAATAGCATTCTATATACATAGCCATATTCCATTTGCTTAATGAATTACATCAGTTATGTGGCATTTGGCATATTGTACAGAAATATGTAAATCTCGGAAAGTCAAAATTCAATGATTTAGAGTCACAATTATTTTGTCTCTTGAATTTGAAACTAACAAGGATTTTCTGTATTTACATTTTATAAATTTTTTATATGGTTTTTAAGTAAGATTAAATAATTTTAAGATCTAGTGTATGTTTGAGTAGCCACAACAATAAAATTTGATTGTATACAGTTGAAATTATATACATTTTCTTTTATATTAATTAAAAAAGAGTTAAATAATCAAATGAATTCTTAATTGCATGTAAAACTTAGATAACCAACTAAATGGGTTCTGAACAACAATTTTTTTATTTTATATAAAAATTAAGTTGAATATTATTATTAATAATGCTCTCTTTTCTTAAATAAGCATTTTTAAAATAATCATATAAAGTGTACAACAAAATGAGTCACTCAAATTATATATTAATAAAATAAATTTACCTGTTATTGTATATGTTACTTCAGCATTCAAACCTGCATCATGATCTGTAGCCAATAATGTATGAATTACACTCAAGTCACTGTTTTCTGGAACATGTAATGCATAACATGAATCACCAAATTCAGGTGCATGATCATTAACATCAAGTAGATCTACAATAGCTGTTGTAATATCATATTGTGTAGGAAAAGCACCATCATGGACATATACTGTAATAAAATATGACGCTCTTTCTTCTCGATCAAGACTAACTGCAGTGTAAATTTCACCAGTTTCAGAATTAATTGTGAATTTATTGTCTGCAACTCCTAAAGGAATCATGTATCTTAGGTTGCCATTATCACCTGTTAAAAGAAAAATTTTCATTTAATTTTCACTGAAATGTATTATATTTTGTTTGGGTTAATTTAATTTTAAATTAAGTTTTTTAAACTTCATTTAAAATTTTAAGAAATCCATAGTTTTTATTTCATCAGAAATGATTTCGAATTGTCCAAGTTCATCATCTAGTTTTGGAATAACAAAATAAATAAAAACTTTCAATTCAATATAGAGATGATCAAATTTGAAACAGAAAAAAATAATTTCATAAATGTTGAAAAATTTGACAATAAGAACTTTTTTAAAAATAATTATGTTTGGATATTATACATAGAATGTCTCAAATTGTATATACACTAAACAATTTTGAAATCAAAATTTAAAAATTTTTTAGTAGAAAATCTGCAATACTTAGTGTTAAGGCAAGCAGATGAAGAAATATATGTGCTGTGTTCATTATTTGCATAATACCTTATGCACAGTACTTGATTAGATCCACAGGTATAAATTACTCCACAGGCTAAAATAAACCCCACATCCCAGATGCATTTAGAAAAATAATCCCATGCATGGATTTATTTGAATCATATTTTTTAAGCTACAGATTACTGTAAATAACCCATTAAAAATTGTAATTGTGTAAATTAATATATCACATTTCTTATAAACTGTGCTTACATTTTTAAAATTATTTTTTGATTTTTATTTAATAGTCCCTGTGACCACTCATACCAACACACAAAACTAATTTTGATTAAAATAAGACCCATATCCAAATGGATTTTTAAAAAAATAGACCCACAGTGGGTCTATTCAAGTGAATACAATATACTATGTACTGTACAACAGAAAATATTCTACTAAAAAAAATTAAAATGTTACAAAAGCAACAACACAACTGTCTATTGGCATTTGTGCTGTTTCAGTGGTAATTGTTGGTTTTTGGGGTATACATTGTCAAAATTTTATTATTTTTTTTTTATTCCTTTTTTTGGCTAGTTTTGTATGGCAACACTACAAGAACAGCATGAGGATATTTAAGGTGTGGGACTGGCAACCCCACTATCTGGTTTGGACTCTTGGGTTGGCGCATTGGTTGCTTTGGTGTTCTCAGAAACTGTGGGTGTGTAAGATTTTTTTTTCAGAAATTCTTGAAACTAAAATCCGTCCACATCGAAGCAATTACCTGCTAGGGACAATATATTGTGTTTAGGTTAATAAGTCATTGATCTATATTATTGCCTGACAAATATTTTTGATCCACGTGTTGTATTTGCTGGAAGGGCTTTTGTGAAAACCACCACATGTAGCCTACTTGTGGAATTTGTATATATATCCTATATATATTTTGTATATAAACTTAATTATATGTGTTTTCTTTGTTGTCTCCCATTGTATGTGGTAATCAAACTTCTACATCCCTACAATTGTCCTCCTACGGATCTTTGTGGATCCCACACATTACAGAAAAGATTTATTTATATGAGTACTTTTGACAGTTTATAACTGTCCTCTTCAAGCAATATTATCACTCACAGAGAACAGAATGCTACTATTTGAAAAATGCAATACAAACAGTAAAGAACATTTTTCAAAATTCTCCTTGTGCACAAACATGAAATATAATTAAAATATATAAAATTACAAAACTTTTAACAACCAGGGTATGTGATGAAAAAAAATAAATAAATAAAAATTTATGCTGAACCAAATAGAAGTTTACTTGAAATACTTGAAGTTTATTTATATCATTATTAATTAACAAAAATAGCATTCTATATACATAGCCATATTCCATTTGCTTAATGAATNTGCAGTTTCAACTGCTTTTTATTTTATAAAATCCGTCTTCTTGCGCCACTAGAGGGCCTTTTAAACAGTAGGTAGTCTGTTAGCGTTGGTCAGTAGTAGTCCAAATTCAATATGAATGTTTGTTTCTTGAAAATTTGATCACGATTTAAATACAGTATTTACTTTTAATATTGCCGATATGTCATCGAAAAGAAAACGTGTTGTATTATCATTAAAAGACAAATTAAAGTGTTTGTTTCGATTATCCGGATTTTTCCTTATCCGGACTACCTTCATCCCCAATTAGTCCGGATAATCGAGGTTCTACTGTACTAAAAATAAAACAATGGTTAAAATGAAAAATCCAAAAAATGGACATATTAACTAAAATTAATATCAAGAAACCTTAAATCCAGTAAAATAGAACATTTATTAATGAAAAAAACATTTTTGACCATGTACAATGGCCATCTCCAGCTTCTAGAATGGAATTAATGGATAAAACAGGAAGCGCATTTGAAATTGAACGCATTCAAAAATTACAAATTTATGTAGTGAGGTACATGCTGAATTTAAGATTTTTTAATATTAAAACAATTATAACTTAAAATTTATTTCAATGTATAATAATTTTTATTTAAATTTTATAATAAAAATCTTTTTTTACAATGGTCTTACTTCTTACCTAGATCATGATCAATGGCATCTACTTTAATTACAAAAGTGCCTACTGGAGAATTTTCAGATATATTTGCTTTATATAACTGCTGTAAAAAATGAGGTGGATTGTCATTAATATCTTCTATATAAATATGTAATAGCTGATAAGCAGATCGAGGTGGTCTCCCATGATCACTGGCAGTAATATTTAAAACATAATGACTTATTTCCTCTCTGTCCAGAGGTTTAGCAACTGTTAACAATCCTGAAAATAAATTCTTATATTTAATAAATGATAAAAAAATGTCAATTTAAAAACAATACAAGAAAAAAATATAAAACTTCTCATAGCTGTAATTATTCTTGTGATTAAAAACTATAAAATTAGTAAATTATAGATATCATGACTTACTACAAATAATACATAATCTGTATATTCTTTTTCAATGTTTCTATCATCAATAATTCATTATACATAGAATCCTAGAATTGTTCTCTGATTTATGAATTATTTAAAAACCTATTGTCATCTAATTGATTCTTTTGACAATGAATATGATTCCTTTTATAAAAAAGAATGTTAAAAAATAAATAGAGAAACTTAACGGATATATAAATAAATTTAACTAAATAACAAAGTGGAAATATAAATTAATATGAAAATATATTAAAGATATAATGGAAACAAAACAAAATATTCTGATAAAATTCTGTCAGAAATAATTATTTTAAACATATTGTATGCAAATGAACATAAAACCAAGTAATATTAATTTCAAAAATGGATACTTATTGGATATATCAATAAGAATAGGTTTAGTTTTAAAATATGTAGAAATCAATCAACATTATTGTGCCATTTAATGCATATATTTGTTATAGCAAATATATATATTAATGAAAAAATCATCATTACAAGTCACAAATATATCATTTCAAATTAAAAAATAAATATGAAAACTTTAAATGAAGTGACAGGCCACATTCTGAATAAATGTTTTCATATATTTTTGAGAGGTTTGAAAATTCAGATAACAAATATTTTCATCCAATATTCATAAATGAATGAATAAAAATCCATGAGCAGCTTTGAATATTTTTGAATGTACTGTCAGATTTTTTAAAAACTAATGCTAGATAAATCAAAAAAATATGTTCATTTGCTTGTGATTGTATAAAATTTTGAAACTGTATATTAATTTCTGATGTTATCCTTTGAACAATGAATGATTAATTTAGTATTGTGGATCAAATAAAAACAAGAAAAATGTAATAAAAGTTTTGATTGTTTAAAGGCCAACATCTACTGTTATCAAAACTTCAATGTAATTCCAGTGATGTTTAACAGATGCCCTCCAATAGGTCTATAATTCTTGGATTCCATGAAAGAAAGAATTAACTCATTGCTATGGGAGCTATTCATGTCCACCAGTTTAACACCATTGGATCTAAAATGATGTCCTCAAAGGGCATTCAGGATTCAAAAACATGATTGGGCTGCAATTTGAGAAAATTGTAGATCTATAAATTCTCACTGTTGTCAGCCTGTCTGTCTTTCCTTAATCTTGAGAATGAAGTTAGATAATGAAAGATGAGACAGATATGGAAACCTTAGGGGCAGGAAGCCCGATTAACTGTATATGAACTTCTGATACAAATCAGAAGTCATGTCATTTCAATTCAAAAATTTTCCTCTGAAAGGAGTTAGATAGATGATAGGTACAACTCCATTGCTAATGAAAAAGTATGATGTAAAGAAGCAGGACACTACAGTACTAATTTGAGGTGGAGAGTATATATTTTAAATTAAATTAATTAAAAATATGATTAAAAATTGTAGCCTGGCTTTGTGACAATGTTGCTTGTTATCATTTAGTATTAAATCAGATAAACTTAAGGATGAGATAATACTTTAGACTTCATATTACAAATAAAATTAATTCTACAGCACAGAAAGTGTTGTTCATATTATTCTGAGACCATCAGAGAGATGAAACACTGATGTAGGCCTACTGCTACATTATCTGAAACCAGCAATTTAAATAAAACATTGTGATTTGCAGTAACATGTTAACACAAAGATCTTGTATGGTCTTCTGTACCACTGTATATCAGGAGATTATATTGAAGATTGACAGCAGTGTTTTTTTTTTCTATGTAAGTACAGTATTCAAAATTTTATCACATTTTTCTTGTTTTCATTTGATCCATTATTATAGACCTATTTAGTTTATTGAAATTATATGAAATTTTCAGTTTTTTAATAAATAATATTTTAATAGTTGGCATTAATTTTACTTCAAAATAATTATAGTAATGTCTATATTAATTTATAAGAAAATAAATGTCATTTGAAATAGATTCATCTAAACAATCTCATTTCTTAGCACTTCTAAGGCTAACAATATTGACGGAATACAAAGTAAAAAATCAGTGCAAAGAATACTAAAAAGAAACAAACAATATTTTGACAGAAAACATTGTTTTCTTTATTGTAAGGAAAATGCAAAAATCCATGAAATACAATTCACTAAAAATGTAAAAAATTTTTAATTCAGTTTTTGCATTACTAAAAAACTAAAGGTTAGTTTCCCAGATTTTTAAGCTAAGCAGTCATTCAAATAAGATTTCTGCACTGAAAAGGAAATATGTAAAAAATTTATGACAGATGAGATGGGGATGTTAGTAGAATGATGATGTCCTAAAGATTCTCAAAGATTTTCCTATTTGAAATAAATTTTTTTTTATCAAAATCATTAAGCAGAAGTATTTTAATCAATGATCACACAAGTTCCTGCTTATTTAAATAATTGCACTTTAATAAAAATGCTATACTAAATTTGCTCTATTAGAAGCATTCTAGTAGAACTTTTAATATGAAAGGATAATGGCAACAATTTAAATTTTACAGTTACAAATAAAAATACTGCTGAAAGATATACCAGTATATAAGATACTAAGTTTAGGAATTTCTTAATACAATGTCATCAGACTTTTCTTCTGTGACAATTCAATGAATTTTGTTTTTTTTATTGGCCAATTTTTTAAAATTAGCTTTGTCTTGGTAGCAAATATGAATAATGTAATTATATTACATTATTCATATTTAACAAATTTTAATCCACATTAATAAAAATTCTAATTGGTATTCTAGAGATTCCTTTAATAATCAACCAAAATGCATTCTGGCAATGCGAAAATGCCATAATGCATTGTGGATGTGGAGGCTTATTTGCAGACATGATGCAATGTGATAAAAATATCTGTGCAAAAATAAGTAACAAATTCTTCATTATTTACAATAAAATCAAATTTTAATCTATATTGAGAATTTCCATCAAAGGACCAATTCTGAACAATGTTTTTTATTTTAAAAATACTAATCAGTGAAAGTTCCTATCACCAAACACTATACGATTAAAAAAACCATAGTATAATAAATGTAACTTTTCATTTTCTTTTATAATTCACAGTCAAGAAGACAATATGCTGTCAGTTTTTTGTTTATGAATCCTTGATACCTAAAAAAATTTATAGATTTAAGTGAAATAAAAAAATTTCTTTTTAAGTCATATTGTCAATTAATTGCAAATTTGTTTTCAATAATGACACTTCCATAAAGAGACCAACTCCAAACAAATTTTTAAATTAATATTAGTAAAAAAACAACGATAAATACAAGTTTCTATCAATGTCTTAGAAGTTTAAAACTTAGATATAAGATTAATGAGACTGTTTATTTTCAGTATAATTCTTAATGTAGATTAGAATTTAATTTTATTCTAAATAATAAAGAATCTTATTTTATTTACTTTTATTTTTTGCACAGATATTTTTATTACATTGCATTATGCTGCATTAATAAGTGCCCACAATGCATTGTGACATTTTCACATTGTCAGATGATGTTTTGATTATTATTAAAAAAATCTCAACATGAATTTTGCTTTGTGGTCTTCTTGATTGTGCAAAAATATGTGCATTTTTGAAAGTGCCAAGACACAAAATTCACAATGTGGCTTGATCTGAGAAGTCAGAATACTTTATGGTCAATTTTTTTGTTCAATAAGTATTTTTAGTCTTTGAGCCTAACTATAACAATTAAAATATACAGGTATTCCTCATACAATGCAGCATTCTGCTTGGTTTTGGTCTAACACATTTTGAGAATTAAGGAAATCTCTCTTACAACACAGTTCAAAAATTGGAAACATCGCAGTACAAAACATCACACTTTTGTTAGTGCAAATACCATCATTCAATTATTTTTTATTCAAACAAGCATGTGGATTGTCTAATATTTGCTTATGGATTTTAGAATATTGAAATTTTCAGTTATTTCATGCCTTTCATCCAGTTTTTTTAAATGGGAACTGATTGTACAGTTTTTCTCCTTCCTTGTTCTAGCTTCCTATTCTAGCTTTCCTAAAAACCAGATGTTGCTGTCATTGGTTAAACCAGTAAATGGTTTAACCAATGACAAGAACATTCTAAATGAACCCAAAGGACTGTTGTTGTATTTTATTTTTATAGATTAATTGAAAGTTACTACATAAAAAAAAAATAAATTTAAAAATAAATTTTAAATAAAGATCTCTTAGGTTCGCCTCTTTGTGCTCTCTGAGCGGTAAGGGGCCTAAAACCACAAAAAAAAAAAAAAATTTCTTAGGCAAATGCAAGCAAAGAAAATATCAGATGAATGAAAAACCATAGAAAAATCAAGATGTCACTGATACTTCCGATTAAGATCAACAGGAAAGCTCAGATGATAATGATATTTTGCCAAAAAGAAAACATCCTTGTTTAGCAGTGTTTAGCAATGAAGGAAAAATTAATATTAATGTGCAATTTTTTTTGTGATTGTTAATTAATTATTGATTGCTTTAATAAACATATTTCTCTTAATTAAAAAAAGAATAGTATACTTTTGCTAACTTTTGAACTTAACCCAATGTTTTGTATTAGTCTTTTGTCTTGTATGGCATAGATTTGCATAACACAGTACTTTCTCATGACCTAACTATTGTGTTATATAAGGGATATCTGTATTTATATATTAAAAGATCAGAAAAATAAAAGAATAATTTTTGATAAAACATTGTGTTATTGTATATCTTATTAAATTTGAATTCATGATATCTCTGTTTGATTACATATAGTATGTTTCCATTCTAAAACTGTGTTCCTATAATTAAAACTTAATTTGAAGAAGTATCCTCAGATTGATGCTGTAATTTGTCCTCTTGACAAAATTATAGTCATTGATGAAAGGAAAATCATTATTAAAATATAATACAATCACTGATACATCATAACTTCATACACTTTATTTTATCTAAACATTTTGATATTTAAAATGATAGCAATTGAAATGTTATCATTATAATATTATAATACAGCAGATACTGCAAAAAAAAAATTTGAATGACTTAAATAATTTAAAGAAACCAGTTACTTATGTAAATAAAAATATGAGAAAGTCTAGAATTTATGATAATATCATTGAATATTTTTATTATACACAGAATTGGTTGTTTTCATACAATTATAGATAAATTCAGTATACAAACAAAAAATTCATATTAAAAATAATAATGAATTAGATGGATAGTATTCAGGTTGTAATTTGGATTTAATGCTTTGCTATCCAGTAGATATATTGACTTTATATGTTAGTTTAGATTCAATAAAACCTATTGGACAGACAGATTCTATTAGTTTCACATGAAAATTTAGATACAAATATTCTATTAGACCAATATAAAATTTTTTAATTTTATTGTGTAATCAATCTCTTCATGTGATGAAAGGATTACACAATAAGTTAGGTTTTGCTAAAGTTAGATACTTTCAATGCTCTTCAGCATATGTCATATATACAGTTATGTTTGCTTTTAAGATTTATAATTTATATATATTTAGTATTACTGATAAAAACATTTTATATTCCATAAGGCTACATTTTAGGAAAAATAATAGAAATGAAAAAATATAATCATTTATGAAGAATAATTAATATTCTAATCTTACCTGTTTCATATTCCACAGAAAAATGACCATTTTCATTTCCCCTTGTTATAACATATGTTACCCTTCCATTATCTCTTGAATCTTTATCTCCTGCTATAATATGAAGTAAAGGAAATCCCACTGGTTCATCTTCTAATATATCTATTCGACTTCTTGACTGAAATACTGGAGAATTATCATTTTCATCTTCAATTATTATTTTACAAGTTGCACTACTTGCTAACCGTTTATTTGCATTTTTAGCTTGATCAGTAGCTGATATAATAATAGTATATTCTGAAAATTCTTCATAATCTAAGTCTTCTGTGAGTGTGAGCATTCCTATTTTACTATCAATTTTAAACACTGCTTTAGGAGATTGCTGAGATATTGCATATCGAACTTGTCCATTGATTCCACTATCTCTATCAATGGCACTAAAATTCCATACAGGAGTACCTTGTGGAGTACTTTCAGGAATAGAGAATAAAATTGGATCATTTTTGAACGTTGGAATGCAATCATTAATATCTTCTACTTCTATTTTAACATTAATGACACTACTATGGGGATTTGTAGCACTATTATCTATTGCTTTAATTTGTAACATATACTCTGATGACTGCTCATAGTCAACTTCTCCTACTGTATATAATAATCCTGTTGTTCTTCCAATATTAAAAACTCCATATAAATTTCCTCCAACAATAGAATATAGCACCCTCCCATTTTCACCACCATCTACATCAATGGCATGTACTCGACCTATTTCATGTCCAACAGAAACCTGTTCACGAATGCGAAATGTAAGACTTGATGTTGAGAAAATAGGCTGATTGTCATTCAAATCCAAAACTTGAATCTGTAAATGTAATTGACTTTGATGAGAAGGTACACCACCATCTTTGGCAACAATTGAAAGAGAAAAAATCTGTTGTTTTTCATGATCCAATAATTTATTTGTAGTGATCTTTCCTGTTGTTTTATGAATGCTAAAAATATGAGATCCATCAGTTTCATCTTTTCCTATAAAATAAAAATAAAATCTTCAGAATAAAATTACATTTTATAATATTTAAAATTTATGTACAATAAATTTATTAGTGTTTATGATTTCAAGTACTAAAATCTTTTTAGGCATTTCTGGAAAAGTATAAAAAAATGCACACCCATACTTGATGTCAGATAGCAATATACTATTCATATCTTTTAAATTTATCTAGCTAAACAATCTGATATGCTTAGGATTACTACATATGAGATATGTAGTAATCCTAAGCATATCAGGATTACTACATATTTCAGGATTACTAAATGTTGCTCTGTCACAACAGATAGTTATATAATATGTGACAGAAGAGTTTCATTATAGTTTGAAAAATGATATAAAATTGGATTTCTTTTTGCAGAACTTGAGATAACTTATTCTAACATATAAAATTATCTTCATAGGATTACTACATATTTCATATGTAGTAATCCTATGAAGATAATTTCCTAGGCATTTTCAAACATTTATTGTAAGATTAGTAATTCTTGATATATTCTTAGTATAAGATTCTATACAGGCTTTTAATACAGATTTATTTCACTGGATAGATAAATTAATACTTAACTAATTATGTATTGCCAATCAAATCAATTTATGAAGACAAAATGATAACATCTGTTATGTTATCTCAGTTTCAAAATTCACTTTGAAATAACTGAAATGTTATCATTATAATATTATAATACAGCAGATACTGCAAAAAAAAAATTTGAATGACTTAAATAATTTAAAGAAACCAGTTACTTATGTAAATAAAAATATGAGAAAGTCTAGAATTTATGATAATATCATTGATGTCTGTAGAATCTATTTATAGAGTACATTGAAATTAATAAATTGCACTAATTATGAGTTAATAAAGTCTTAATATATCATTTGTAAAATCCTATGAAAATAATTTCATATGAAGGTTAACAGAATAAGTTGCCTCAAGCTCTGCAAAAAAAAAAAAACATCCAATTTTACACCAACTTTCAAACTATAATGAAACCCTTCTGTCACATATCATATAACTATCTGTTGTGACAGAGCAACATTCATGAACACATTCATACCTATTGTGAGAATGGTGCCATGTCACTCATATCAGTTATTAGAATATGAAAATCTGCACACTTTGATTTCACAATAGTCTAAAAGATTGTTTTGTGCAATGTCGCCATCAAAAATTTATAATGATTTCTGTTATCTAAGAACTAATCATTGCATTACTTTCAAAGTCTTTGAGTTTCAATGCATTATTCAAAAATTTTAAATAAACAGTTTTTAATAGGATGTTAATTCACTCCATTATCATCATTCTATAATCTTCCTTAATAAGACTTTTCTGGAAATGGATTAGCAATGACTAACTGACAATATGATCTACATAGTATTTTTACTGAAATCTATGATTTAATTTTTGTAATGATTGTGTTCATATCTGCTATCTGTCACTACAACAATATTAATGAGTTTATGCTTGCAGTTGATTAGCTTTCCAATCACCATATCATTAAAGTCTCATCTTTAAAATAGATTGTGACTTATTGAAAACACTGAAAAAGATTAAATAGATAACTCAGTACACATCCAAAGAATGTGAATTTTATTCCTGCTTAATAAAATTGTTTATACTAGTTCTGTTTCTGTTTTTAAGTTTTTCTACGTGTAATAATGTTTAATGTTATTAATTGTCATTATTAAAAAAAGAAAAAAGATATATATATATTCCTAACCACATAATTCGGATTTAGATATATGATTTTAATATCTAATGTATATTTTAAAACTGTTAATAGTATTTTAAACTAAGAAATATAACAAGCTTGTTAAATATTATCATATATTCTTCCCAAATACTTATTAAAACATTAAAATTATCATCTTAGGTGTTGTTTACAATAGAAGATTGGAATAAAACAATCAACATTTAAATTCAATTTTGTCTATAAACAACTTGAAAAATTGTCATTCTGCACTTTTTTATGATTTTACTTAATAATTTATTAATAATTTTTATCTTTATTTATTTATTTTTACAGAGCTTTTTTATTCCTCTTTGGAAAAACCAAAGAGGAATAAAAAGTTTTTGTACTGATAGTTTCTCCTCTTTGGAGAAACCAAAGAGGAGAAAATATCAGTACAAAAATTTAAACTGAATAGAATATTTTAACACTGATTCATATATCTTACTCAATACAGAATATTTTAATACTCTTACAAATATATCTACCTGGAATAATTTCAAATGTTATTGCTGCATTTTTTCCTTCATCCAAGTCAGAAGCTAGAACTTGAACTACTTCAGTTCCTTCTGGCTGTTCTTCAAGAACTTCAATAATATTTTCTACAGGTTCTATAAATACAGGTGCATTATCATTAACATCTAACACTTGAATTTCAACTGCTGCCTGATCAAATCGAGATGGAGTTCCTTGATCACGAACTTCTGCTGTTAATTCATATTTTGATTTGATTTCTCTATCTAGCATTGTTTTAGTATAAATTTCTCCTGAAATAAAAATAAATTACTCTTAATATATGTCAAATATGTAAAATTAAAAATTTATTTTTAAAAACTAAAACTTATAATCTCATTGGGCTATATTATTTGCTGTCTTTACTCAACTTCTTAATAAAACTGGAATGTAAGATTTAAAATTTTAAAAGAAAATATCTGAATATAAGTTATGAACAGTTAATGTATAATATTATGGATTTCACTATAGGTTTTATTTTTCATTTCCATTCTCCATATTACACTGTTTTTGCACTGTTTTTTATAATTTATAAATGTTATACATTTAGAAATCTTTCTGTCATAATATAATGTGTTAAAAAGTTATAAACTGTATTGTAAGAAATTTCAAAAAATATATATTCAATATATAATTTTACATTTTAGTCATTGACTACAATAAATCCATAAATTTTTAAGTAATTAATTATTATTTTGTTAAAGCATATAAATTTTATATAAAACAGTTATTTGAATGTTATCAATATTAAAAATTAATAAATATTATTTCTATCAAAATTAAGTTTATTTGTTGTTACTTTTATTAAAGAGTGAAACAGTAACTTATTAGCTAATGAATAAATATTCTTCAGGAATGGATATGAAATTTAAATTAATGAATGAATAAGAAAGGTTTATCTTTCATAGAATTATAAATGATACAAAAAGGTTTTGAAGATTTCTTAAATTTTTGTTTTTAATATTCTTGGTTGTGAGGTAATCTATCTATAAAACTTGTAAATCTTGATTTGCAACTTTTGCAGATAGCTACTACTGATACGTTTTAAAATATTTTAAAATAATTTATCTTAAACAATACTTTGTAATATTCTAGATATTAATAATTAATAATAGAAACTGATTTATTGACTTTTATTCCTAGCATCAAAACTGGAACAATCAAAAGGTAACCAAATTTAATTAAGACAAATATATAAAAGCAAAGATAAACAATGAAGACTTGATTAATTGATCATTGTTTCATATGATTTGTATAATAGCCCTTTCATTATCATAATTAGCATTGTAATAATGAAAGATTATTATATAAAACTTATTGAAAATATGTTTATATATTTTGATGTTTCCATGTAATAATTTCTAAAACAGGATTCATGATAAAAAATTCACTAACGATATCATTAAATATATCATTAAATAACTATAAATTAATTTTCAAATAAAAAAAAAATATATATATACAGTATTATGAAAAATTAATAAATTTACTTTAAAAGAAAAAATATATTTCTAATAAAATAAATACATTTTAAGTGACAGAAAAAAGAATTCTCAATGATAATTTTTTTGTAATATAACTTCTGTTCTCACTATTAAACAAATTACATTATGATGAATTATAGAACATTATTATTAATTTGTATTTGTATTCTAATTAAACTTCATTTTATCAGTAAAAAATGTATTTGCATATTAGAAAATAGAAATTTATTATTAATAAATAAATAGAATCATCTGACAATTTCTACAAAAAATATTGTGAACTAATTCATAACCATAATACTAGACTCATTTATTCAAAAGACTAATTAAAAAGATAATTAAATTGATTTAACTGAACATCAGATAACATTTAAAAACTTTTCCAGAATAATTTATTTTTTAATTTATGAATAATCAATTTTAACTTGTATATATCTCTTTGTTAAATATGTATGTTATACAATTTGTTCACAAGAACATAATCACAGAAAACACTTTAAAGTTCATACAGCAACAGACTTTTTATTACTAGAAACTATTAGACATGTACTGTATGATATTTTAATCATATTTTTAAAAAACAACATACAATTATTTTGTAAATAATTTGCTGAATAAAAAACTTCACAGAACTGTAATCATAATAGTCTATTAAAAAAAAAAAAATAGTCTGAATAACTGGATGAGTGAGGCCCAATGATTTAATGCAAAATTTCCAGTCCTGATATTTTATATCCTCATTAACAAAAAACGGGATATTTCTATCATGAAAAAACTAGACACATCATTCCAAACTTCATGTCATTTAGATCCTCTGCAGGGTTAAAAAAAAAAAGCATATTTTTTACATAAAATTTTTAATTTTTCGTAGGTCTGTTCCACAGTTGAGCATAAAAATTAAGAATGTTTATCCAATAGACTGCAAAATGCTATGAAACTATTAACTTACTTACACATTTTGAAAAACTTCTAGATCAACATTTCTATATTTACTTATAAAATTATTTTATTATAAATATAAAATGCTAATACTATATATTAATAGTTTGTTTCTGAAAATAAACTCAAATTACATATTATACAAACTTGCTTTCAATATTATTTTTAATAGTAAAATGTAAATATAAATTTAGTATTTAAAAATAACAATAACTGATTTGTGGATATCTTTATATAATTTCAACTCAGAAATTCAAACTATTTTTAATTAAATAGTGTCAACTAGATAAAATGCATAAAAATGCAATATTAAGTAAAAAGTTATTTACATCTTTCAAATACTGTATATTTCTATAAATTATTATAAAAATAAGTCTCTGGAATGTAAAAATAAAACTAAATCTGGCTTAAAATATTAAAATAACAAAAAATAAATCATTCAAATTGAATACATACAATGTAAAACAATCACAGACATTTAAATTGATTTTGTTATCTATTTGTGTATTAATTTTAAATCCCAAACACAAAAATTGCTGGCCTTACACTTTTTGTGACAATTATCAAGAGATTTAACTGAATAATTTAATAATTTTCATGTTGTTATTTTAATTCAAAAGATATATTATAGTTTTGAAAATATGGTTTAAAAATATTTGCTATTTTGAATACATTGATAAGTCTGTTTGTAGTATTTTATATTGGAAGCTTAAATTAAAATCAAGTTCCTATATTGTTTCTTACCATGCCCTAACTTATATATGCCAAATTTAATTATAAATAATTTCTTAAAATATCTGTAATCCCCACAATACACATATCAGCACTAATGAGCTTTTATCATAAAAATCAAACTAACACATTAATGATCAACTATTGTAATAACGGAATTATTCTGTTTCCATTATTAAATCACACTTGTAAATATTATTGTCAAAAATGTTAATTTCACTTATCTATGAAAATAAATTAATTTTCTCTGACATTAACATTAGACATTAAATTAAAAGGTAATAAAAACCTTTTAATTTTAAAACACAATTAATATTTGAAAGGGAACATTTTAATTAATTTTTTATTTTCTGATGTCATTCATTACAGAAAAATTTCATCATTTATTCTATATTATCAAAAGTTTTGGAACAGAGAAAACTTGAAAAAGCATTTCATCCAAATTTTTCTGTTAATTTTCTATATATGGAATGCACAGTATTCTCTTACATTTACTGAAACTAAATTAAAACATTCAAATTTTTAATATTTATTTAATAACAGGTAAATTTAATAATTTACTTAATCACTTAACATAAAAATTCCCCATGTATATAAATTATTAAGAATCTTTACTATAATGTATATAAATATAATAAGATAATTTATTAATGTAATAATAGTGTTATAAATTTGTATTAAATAAATAAATTGCATATACTTTATTAAAAACAGATAAAAGATGTCCTCGAGATAATTCATAATCATTAATTATTTTCTCTCATTAATAAGATGATACATATTTTCTGCAATTTGGTATGACATTTGATCAATAATCGAACTGTCACATAAAGTATAATGTATAAAGTCATTTTATATTATACGTTATTTAAATAGAACAAAATAAACAGAGAAATGTCTACAACATAAGTTCTAATTTATGAAATAATATTTAAAAAAAGAACCTCTAATCCATAAAAATAGTTTCATTTGTTTCGACATTAGCATATAATAGTATAGATGTATATGAAATATTCATATGTACTGTTTTCATATTGGTAATATGAAAAATATTTCCATATTATTATTGTTGTTGTTGTTGTTGTTGTAGACAAACAAATTTAAGATTAAAAAAAATCCTTTCATTCCATAATATACTCTATATTCTCCATTTTATTTTAGTTTTGTGGGAAGCAACATGTCATTCTTTTAATTCAGTTCTCTGTTCATCTTTTATTGTGAATATGTAATTTATTATTTAATATTCAGCGCTTTAATAGCAGAGTATACTACGACTTATATTTCTTTTAATTTCTAGAATATGCAATTATACTTGCAAAGAGAATTAAAAGTAAATCGCAATTAGTTGTAAAGCATTGAAAAAAATACTTTAAATAAATTTTCATCCCATCTATTATAATCAATGAGAAGTCAATTAAGATTATAAGATTGTAAAATTTTTATCTCAAATAATATATTATTTTTCATTCTATGTAAATTAAATCTTAAATTCCAATCATAGAGATTATCCAATGAAATTCACACATAATCACTATAAGTATTTATTAAAAATCCACTTCAGCCCATCAAAATCTACAATGAAATTTTTGTAACATCTTTCAAAATTCATTTTTAAAACTGATTTAAATATTAAAAAAATGTGATGAATTTCCAAGTATGTAGAAAGAATTGTTGTAACAATATTTAAAGCCAATTTAAATAAACCTTTCGCCGATTCTTTATGTTGGATTTCTTTTTTCAGTGGATGTCTTGTGAATCAAAAGTGAAATGAGGTAATAAACAAGCAATTTTATTTCAAATAATATATTTAAAATGTAGTTAAGTTTTCTTGGATTGATAGAAATGCATTAAATAGACTAGTTTTTGTTTGAAATAAATATGAACGGAGACAATTATAATACGAATAATATTGATTTATAAGCACGACGTACATAATTGGTGTGTAGATTATTCTCTGGGTGACAAATATACTGAAACAAAAATTATTGGGTGAACAACAAAGTCTCAGCAAACATGACAATTTCATATTTCACTTTTTACAACTTGAAAATTTATAAGAAGCACTTGTTATCTTATCTGGAGGCTACAATTATATTAAA